CTCCAGGATTCTTGCCTGGAGAATCCCATAGACAGAGGAGCCTGGCGGTCTGCAGTCCAGGTCACAAAGACTTGGACACAACTTAGCGACTGAGTGCACACACACAGAGGTTGAACTGGAGCTCTGGCTATCCGTGTTTTTCTGGGGGAAGCCCACAACAGTCTCTGAACGAGAAACAAAACACATCTGTCTCGGTGCTTTTTATTTCCACTGCAAAAGAAAAGGAGAAGGGGCTGGATAGGATTTAAACCAATTTCCTAAGGTTCTTTCCAATCTACACAGGGATTCCATGAGTTTATACATACCCAAGGCAAAACAAAAAGCAAAACAAAGCCCATGGTGATCATTTTTATTGGTGAAATGTTTCAATGCAAGGTATTCTAGAAAAGCAGAACACTAGAGCTGATACCAAATGTTTCCTAATCTAACACTTAGCAGGTATTTAGGCTATGGGGCTTCCCTAGTGGTCCAGTGTAAAGAACCTGTCTGTCAATGCAGGAGACACAGGATTGATCCCTGGGTTGGGAAGATCCTCTGGAAAAGGAAATGGCAACCCACTCCAGGATTCTTGCCTGGGAAATCTCATGGACGGAGGAGCCTGGCAGGCTACAGTCCGTGGTGTCACAAAGAGTCAGACACGACTTGGCAACCAAACAACATCAGTTCAGGCCACGGGAGTTGCCTCCGTGGTGAAATCCCTCTGGGTAAGCCTCAGAATCTAGCTGGCTTGTTACATAATGTGCATATTTAGCATACCAGCCTGTGTACTCACGTGCTACTAGTAATCCTCATGATCACTAACGAATGCATTGAGTTCCAGCCACCTTAACACACTCACACGGTTCAACTTGGACCAGAATACCTTTTCTGAATTTTTCCTTTCTAACATGTCCCTTTTAATAGAGGAAGCAAGTTAAACTATTCACTCCAACAAAAATTGCCTTTGTTTTGTTTGTGTTGAAATATAAGCATTGGTCAAACTGTGTTGAATAGAAAATCCAACCCGGGAATGTAATTCCAATAAAAAGCAAAGTTATGGCCAAACTCAGCAAAGACAGTAACTTGCACAGAATCCAGAAAGGGCAGCAGCACCAGCATGGAGCTGTCAGGAGCGAAGCTTCATGTGAGGATGGCAAAAAATGGACCTTTCACAATATCTCCAACTTAGGGAAAATTGTCATCATTTTGCATTTTTGCTTTGCTTTTGATTAAAAATTGGTTTAAAAGAGATGAACCTTTTTTCTTAAAAATACGTGCCTTTTCATGGGGGTTAGGAAGAAACTACACAACATACACACACAGGCTCATGACGCTCAAGAGGAAAATTGAATAAAGAATTCTATTAGAGCCCTCGGAAATGAAAGATCTCCTTGTCATTAAAATATCCAAGAGTAACTCAGACCTGCACTGAAATGACAAAATGACTGTGTATTTACAAAATAAGCTCTCTCGATTTATATTAGAGTAAAATATCATCACTTAATTATTTACATCATAACATTTTGGAGGTTTTTTATAGCTCTTTAAAATTCCTGTAGAGCACCCAGGTCAAGCTGCTAAAATGCTACAAATATATTTAAAATAATTTCCACTATCCTTTTTTTCTGGGAAAAAAAAAAACAGTTTATAGAATTCAAACAGTTTCAGCTGCTTGAGATGGTGAAATATCTTAGTGCTTTTCAAAAATCACATTTCATAAAGGGCACTTATTCCACAGAATTAAAGTTTACTGAATAATAAATATAACTTTAAGTGATGCAAGCTGTCAAAGTTAAGGCAGATATCCCTTCATGATTTTTGCTGCTTCTGAAAAAGAAAGGAAGCAGAAAGGGAATGATTAAGGAAAGGCAACCTTACCTTTGGATTCCTTCACCTTTGTATATTTATCATAAATAACAATTTAAGTGTCCTTTGAGGTTAATATTTTCTGGTTCAATGGGAAAGTACAGAAAAAATTAATACACTCATGCATAATAGGAGGCAGCGGAGACTGGAGCTTATCTGTAGCAAATTTTATTTTCAAATAACCATAAAAGGTATCCAGTTACTCTTCAGATTAATTTATAAGATCATGCAAGATGTAAACATGACGTTCCAAAGGAAAAAAAAATCACTGTTGAAAATTCTAATGGATGAGGAAAAATTCACAGAGATACACACCAGGAACTTTCTACATATGGCTAATACCTGGATCTTTATTCTCGCCTGCTTTTTATCATTCTAGCACAAGATAAAAGTAGTGCAAAGAAGAAAAAGTTAATAACCCAAGGGAAGAAGAACTCATTAACGTGACACATGATACAGGAGAGTTTACTACATAAATATTCAAAAAGGAATATTGGGAGTGAAGAGTGATATTAGATAAAAATATCTATTTTGAAAAAGAGTTAAAAAGAAATTTAGTTGTGGCGACTATATTGCTACTTACATCATATTTATTCACAGGCTTCCCCTTAAGAACCATGCACAGTTCCAAACTTTTTTCTTTTCTGGCTATAGAAACAGATAAAATGAGATGGAAATCCTTCCAGAGGACATTCAAAATAATATGTTAATTTAAGAGTTATAATGTATTTTGAAAATATGGTAGATGGTAATATTATCCTGAAAAAAATTATATGGGCAAAATAAGTGTTATAAAAATATTTTAAAATCAGCATTGTGCTGTAAAGAAAATAACTTCCTAATTTTGAGATTGACTATAAAGTAAAGGACTGTGGCTTTACATCAGAAGGGTTTTATTTATTTGAGTATTCAGAGTTGGTTCCCAATTACTAAATGTATAAAACAGATCCAAAAGGCCAATCCAGAGTTTATCTATATAGCTATATATAGCTGTATGGTTTCAAAGCAAACACAATGCCATTTCTGCAATTTGGACTAAGTCCTAGCATCCTCATTTAACCCTGGCGTCTAGAGACCATAAAATATTTTGGATCCCCTTGGTACACAAACTCTCTACAAGTAAAGCTAGCTTTGTTTATAACATAGTTGAAAATTAAATAGCAAAACTGCATACAAAATTAGTTCTTTACATTTATTTTTATAACAATCTTATTCCTAGGATTCTCGTAAGAGCCTAGGATGACATGACTCCAAATTTCCATTCCAGAATTTCCCACTTCTTTTTTAACAATTTTTATTGAAGTATAGTTGATTTACAGTGTTGTGTTAATTTCTGCTGTACACCAAAGAGATTCAGTTATACACGCACAGATATATATATATATATATATATTCTTGTTCATCAGAGTTTTCCATTTGTAACACTTCTCTCCATGATGCCCTGGCAGGCACACTGCAACAGAAAGCAAGATGCCATTTCTATGTGGCTTTTAAAATGCTGTGCATCCAAAGATTATTATAAAATAGCATGTGGTGGATTCCACAAGGTTTATTAAATAAAGCTACCTACTTTGTAGGTGACGAAACATCACCAAGGTTTTTTAAAGTGTTTGCTTTGGGTCCTTTACTATGGAGTCATGTCCTTATTTGAGGTATATATTAAAAAAAAAAAAAAGAACCCACCCACTCTGCGAGTCAGCCTGAAGGTGGTAACTCACCAAAGCCGACAGCTGCTGACTCTCAGCGAAGTTTTTTTTGCCCAAGATCAATTTGCAAGAATTCGGCCAAACCAGACATCTGGGAGGTAGAAGCTACGAAAACGTAGTGCCCTGCCCCCGGCCAGGAGGTCCACGTCCTTGTCTCCACGGGGTGAGGGTTCAGTCCTGCAGACTCAGGGCCCGCTGTCCACCGCGGGAAAGCACCACGGACTTTCCGACTCGGCATCCGCCTGCTGCTTTCTCTTCCCACTCACGTAATTAACGCGCCTTTCTTTTCCTCTTTAAAAATATGCCTGTTTCAAATTTGCATTATTTTTTTTTTCAGACGCCTAATTTCAGCTCTGTTCTTTCCCTCTGTGGTCTCTTCCCGCATTTCACATTCCAGACAAATATTTAAAGGTCTGTAAAACCAGGCGAGGTTCCAAAATATTTCTAAACGAAAGTGCCATGGGTGACAGCAAAGGGAAAGAAGGAAAGCAGGAGGACAAGGATTGAAATAAACTGGCTGGAAATGCATCGGAAAATCTATTTACGTTACTATAGCCGTGGGTGAGGTTTCAGTGAGGCATAGTCAAGTTACTGACAAAACGAACATGTTTCATCATCACTCAGAATAGTCTACTTGTCATGGTGCACTGCTTTTTTTTATTAGTAAGTTGCTCTCTCTTTTTAAATTTGTTTTTCTTATTTAGTATTCAGGAAGTGAAAGCATTTAAGAAAACATTCAAAATTCTGAGAATACATGTAAATGAAATATTTAATGTCTATCATTCATAAAAGTTACATCATTTACATAGGGTTCATTTGTATATAATAAAAATTTCATCATAATGAAAAAATTTCTGGAAAGGTATATGTTAATTTGTTTAACATACGCTTTGGATATACAGCTAAATATGAGTCATTAAAAAATTCTATCTTCAAATATTCCCTTTAACCATTAAAAAACCTCATTCCTAAATATTTGTTTTTCTTTCCATTTGCTCTTTTTGTTTGTAATATCATATGTAATCTGAACCATGCAAAGACAGGACCTCATCACAGTTCAGAATATATTTGTGTACTTTCAATAAATTTGCTCATTGCATAGCAAACATGTAAACTTACAGAGGATCTATAAATTTTACCCTAGTCATCTAAAAAAGCTGCTGAAATTTTACATGACAGTATATTGAGGTTTATTTATGTTGTAATTTGGGTTCTGTTTTTTTAAAAAAAATACTTTTAGTCCATGTGTTAATTGAATACAACAAATAAAAAGTCATGAAAAGTCCAAAACCAAGTAAATAATTTTATCCTAGATTACCAGAACTTATCCTCATTATATCATTTGGAATTTTTCCTAAGTATAACAAGTTGGAATTGGGTCATGCTGCCTCTTATGACAGTGTTCAAAATTAATTCCAAAAGTGTGTGTTTAACATAAAGTTAACTATGTTTCCATCGAATAAGATGTTTATTAATGAAAGCTATTTATCATACAAGGAACAGCAAAGATAAGTCATCATACAGAGATGTACACTAGAAGTGACAGATGTGAAAGTGCATGCAGAGATTTCTGTTTCAAAAGGAAGTAATAAACAATAATACTAAAATTACTGGGGTCTGATCCCTATCCTCTTAAATGAGTGATAGCTTTTCTTTGAATTTACAGTTGGAAAATGTCATTAACAGATAGGACTAAAACACATCAGCAAGCAGGTGAAATGAATGCTTTTGGACTTTATTTTACAAGTGCTGTGCTTGACAAATGTGTGGGATTTTTTTTTTTTTTCCAAGAATAATTTTCTTCAGCTCTGGGGTGGGCATATTACTGCCTGGCTGCTCTGGATTATACACGGTTTGTCTCACTTTGTTTAAAATCATATAATTTTAAGCCTCCATTTGTGTTAGACATCATAAAGAACAGAAGTTTTGTTAACATTCAGTAAATGACATTTAAGTCTCTTGGTCTCTCTCTCTCTCTCTCTTTCTCTCTCTCTGTCTCTCTCTCTCTTTTTTTGGCTCAATAGATCTTTTAATGTATGATTATCATAACCTAATATTGTCTTTGTCTTCACTGCAGTGGATTTCCGATCAAACTTTTCCCCTTCTTTTAATACTTTAGGGAATTTTCAAACGTCGGGATGTTTGGCTGTAATGCCCCAAGATTTGTTCTCCCTGAAAAAAATCATAGTGACAATTTATTAACTCCAGAGCAACTTGGCTTTTAGGGGTCTTCAATTTCTATTTAGATTTACAAATATCCATTTGTGCTCAATAGACCTAACATGAAACTTAATCATATTTAAGGCTTCTTTTCATGCAATTACTTTTTCTGCTAATTATCTATTTTTTTTAATTCTAAAAATCAGGCTGAGTCAAATCCATGGGGCATTACTTTTATTGTAGGAAAATATATTTAAAGGTAATTCTAAGCTGAATTGCATTGCAAATGCAATGGTAACTTAAAATGAATCATAAGTTTGGAAATCTAAAAACTATTTGTATGTCTGTATATTAAAAAATTTTGTATTACCATTTTAACAGCTTTTACAAATAGATATCAAAAACACACTAGTACAGTTAAACCTTAAATAAAACTGATGGGAAATAAAAGTCCTTAGATTCAAAATGGTTTATTCACACAAATTTAATAGGATATATCACAACTGTTTGGTCCATAAATATTTAAGGGAAATAGTTTCTATACAATGCATTTCTCAATTAACAAAGAAACATGGACAATTTTGCTAGACCACTTACTGTACTATAAACACGAAGCTCAATATATAAGATTATTGAATTTATCAACTATATTGGAAAGAGTGCACAACTGCTTTCTATGACATGTCTGTCCCCTCTAACAGGATACACCATAAAAAGAGTTTCAGAAATAAGAGGTAAAACAGTACAAAACTAGTGAGGTGTCAAAAGGGCTTAAAACAGTTAATTTAACAAACAACACATATATCCTGATTTTTCACAAACTTACTTCCAAGTTATCTCATAAGGCACATAGGAGAACTGAGTTATAATTAGTCTACTTAATAAAGTAGATCTATAGTACCATATATTGTTCTGTCAAAGAACAAAATTTATAAGTATCAATATTTTACCTGTAAAAGTGTATTCATAAGATCTCAGCCTTACCAAGGTTGTTTGGTCTGGTTAGTGGTAAATGCCCAAAATGTAATAGAAATATGAAAAGTCAAGATTTAAGCTCCATATAAGATGATAACCACACTTGCTAAATATATAATGGCAAACACACCTTCTTCTGTTACAGTGTTAACTTATCTTCCATCATCTTTTTTTAAAAAATAAGCTACTTTCTGTGCTAGTTTTCTAAAGACCCTGAGCAAAAGTTACAATAATGCACTTTAATGTGGGCAGTGAACTGTCAATATGTAACCACACATTTATACAACCAGAAGGACACCTTTAAAATCTATTAAATAACCACTTCGAACGCCAGAGGAGATTTAAGGGGTCCGAAAAGTGGAGAATATGTGCAAAGTTATTCTTAACAATCCACTAAAGCAAGACATATATCTTGACTTCTTTTTTATTTTTTTTTTTTTTAGGAAATCCACAATCTAATTGATATTTAACTACAACAGAAGCATATAGATGAACATTCACCACTGCCCAGACCATTAAGATTTTAGCTTAAATTAAAAGAAAAAAAAATGCTACTGTAAACTAGGAAATATATTCAGATTAGCATCCACAAGGCTTCTGAGTTTATCTTTAAACTAAGAACTTCAAATCTCTAACGTCAGAAAAGTTTTTCCTTTTTTTCTGACAAATACATCAACCTGTGCCGAAGTAAAATGAACCAAAACAAAACCAAAAAATTTTCATTGTTAATATTAGTTAAAGAATTTTCATTGTTAATATTAGTTACTAAGTTTTTTAACTTTATTTGTATAGAATGCCAGATACAATATCATGGTACAACTAAAGCCAATTAAGAGCTATCAATTAAATTATACTGATTTTTTTTAACTTCTTAAAAAATTATATTTTGCTTATTTCCATTTTCCCTGGGGAAAAAAATAATTTAGAAAGAATGGTTTTATATCTATTATCATTTTTAGTTTGAGAAGGTTAAATGTATAAAATTTCAAATTCTGTTTGGAATTTTATGGATGCACAGGAGGTTTAAGTATTTTTCAAATGTTGAAAAGCAGTAATTAACTAATAAGAAAGTTTTGTTGGGACTATACCCATAAGAGAAAATAAAAGTCACATTCCTGGTTAGATTTTCCCATCTAATTAATCTTTAATATTTAGATTAGCTATTGTTTCTTTAACCATATTCCTCATTTGTAAGAAAAAGGAATGATTAAAACTTTTTTTTTTTGCATTTTAAAATTTTTAAAAAATGACAATGTGAAGTTTCCAAACTTTCATAAGTACAGGTACAATTGCAAGATTAAAAGATAATTTTAATCAATTATCTGATTCCTTATTCACCTAATTATGTAACTGGGAATATGATTCTTTGCCCATCACAATACCACTCTTTGTTGGTGGTGTTTTTTTTTCCTTTGAGATTCTGGAAATAAGTAACATACAATTTTAAGAGGCACTTATTAGAATGATTCCAAAATTCCCCTTACCGACTGAACGATCTAATTAATCTTTTTTTTTTAAATCCAAATACACTTTATAGACAAAAGAAAAAAAAGTACAGTTTGTAAAGGAGACGAAACTGTAAACTCATTTGCCAAGTGGCTGCAAGACACTACACACCAAGCTGTCGTCGTTACTTGCCAAGTATCTTGTGGGTGGGTGGGGGGGAATCGTTTTGTAAATAATAAAATAATCATTCGAATAATAATAAAAAGAAGAGGACGATTTAAAAAAGCCCAAAGCCCAGCGTTAGAAAAGGTTCGTTAAGGTAGTCTGCGCGGGGCTGGCGGACTCGTGGCTGTCCAGGTTAGAGGCCACGGCTGTGACTACGGGGAGAGAGGGGTTGGTCAGGTCTGTTAAAGTGGTCGCTGTGCCCGCCGGACTGAGCGCGCCGCTGTCTGCCGAGGGCGGGGCCGGAAGCGACGTGCCATCGGCTTTATCAACACCCCCATTCTCCTGCCGCAAAAGGTTCCTTCTGAATTTGGCTCGTGCGTTTTGGAACCAAACCTGCAAACCAATCCCAATGGATTTCTTTACCGATGTTTATTTTTATACTTCCTTTTTTTCCCCCTTTCTCTTCTTTTTTTTAAAAATTGTTTTGGATATACGTTTCTCTTTTTAAATGTTTATTTTCCTAGGGGGAGAAGGGCCTTCCCCCTCCCTTTGTTTCTGTTTTTTTCTTTTTCTGCTTTCTTTGACAACAGAGTAATCCCAGTAGGACTACAGATACCCTCTTAGCTGCAGCGGGGCCCCCACCCCCAGCATTAACGGTGCCGCTCGGGGGCACGGATGGTTAAGTGGAGACACCCTGGGGAAATGAAGGCACAGCGATCAAGGGGGTGGGGGTGGGGGTGGAAATACACCCTCATCCCTCAACGGTTGTCTTTCCAGAGAGAGGACAGGCGAGGTCAGCGGATGTTTCACCAAGTTAGAATCACTCGCATGAAATGAACATCATTGAAACAGATTTCTGGCTGTTCTTGAGTCTGACACATGCCAAGTACTCTGCACAGGAAAAACCTCCAGGGCCACAGACTCCAAGCAACCGGAAACGGGTGCGTGGAATTTAAAACGCCTGCTGTCTGTCACTGAGGGTGAGAGCATCAGAGGCGACCCCCAGCCACCCACCATCAGGGCTCTGGTTAGACATTCTCACCATGATGAGCCTAGCAAGGCCCTGGGCCAGCAGGTCTCACTGCAGTCTGCAGCGGTCAGATGCGGTTGGTTAAAATGGGAAGACTCGCTCCGATTGGTTGCGGAGACAGCTAACCATGCTTGTGGCTTTTCACGAGCTGACCAAAAGGGTCTACGTGAATCTGGAAGCTTGCAAGGGGGGAAGGAGGCCGCCAAGAGTGTGCTGAAGCAAGAGGGTAGCAGCAGGTCTCCCCAGGTGTGTGCGCACTGACCCTGACGTGGACAGAGGTCTCCAAAGCCACAGCTTGTGCAGACAGCACCACCTGCGTTTGCAGAGCAGCGGGGCAAGCGGAGGTGGTTTTGTGGGCCCGTTTCCCCATCTGTAGGGAGAATGTGGCTGCAATTTAGGAGACCCTGGGTCTCTCTCTCTCTCTCTGTCTCTCTCTGTCTCTTTCTCTGGGCAGTCTCCAGGAAGCCCCTGCAAAAGCTTGGTACACTCTCTAGGGAGGTAAGTAAGGTAACTAACGAGAAGCAGTACTGGAAATCAAACAGGGAAGAGAACTATTTTCACTGTAAGGGGAAGTTGTAGGCACAGCTAACAATGGACGCTTCTTACCTGCAAAACTCTTTTGGTCAGGCCTGTTTTCTGAGCAAGTTGCTTGAGGTCCTTGGCGTCCGGGTTGTGGTTGATGGCGAAGTAGGATTTCATGGTCCGCAGCTGGTGATGCTTGAAGGAGGTGCGCATGCGCTTGGTCTTCTGCGAGGGCGGGTAAGGCTGCTGATCCCGGTCCAGGTGGTCGGCCTCGTTCTCGTTACAACCTGCGGCAGCCACAGGGGACGAAAAGAAGGGCTCAGTGCAAGGGCCTGCCTTAGCTGAAAGGATGGCAGGTGGCATGCTCCTGTCATGACAGAACAGCAACGGTGGAAAAGCTGTCGACCCAATTACGAGCAGGATCCAGACAAAAGAAAGAGGTTAATCGCCCCAAGTCCGCCAAACTAGTCTGTTAAGTGTGGACCCACTCGAAGTTTACGCAGTAGAAAAGTATTAGATACATCTAATACATTTAGATAAGTTATTAGATAAATCTAATCCCTTTGGCTTAATGGTTGCTAGGAAGACTTGAGAAGATGAGTAAGGTCTAAGTGTGGGAGTGACAGAAATCTTCTCCAAGAGTGTAAAGGGGTGGGGGGGGGAACCCTCTTCTACTATGTGATGTGTATGAGCACGCTGGCCCTGCACACACAAGGTTTTCAGGGATTCTTCATTTTGTCTGTGTTTGTGAAACAAGGTGTAGTCTGTGAAGACAGGAGGATATGCAAGCCAGTAATTTCAGCTCTCTCAAGTCTAAAAGTTTTACAGACCATCTCCCTGGCCCTGCTCCCCCCAGTGAAGGAAGGATCTAAGTTCCAATTTTTAGCCTTTCCTGCACATCCTAGAACGTTTTCAGAAAAAGTTAAAAAGAAGAAGGGGAGAAGTTACAAAATAGAAACCTGCAAGATTCTTACATAACCAGAAGAATATTACTTTTGAGGACACTTAGCAGTAACTGGTTCACATGGGGCTAACCAGGATGAAGAGAGTTTTCCCTTGGAGTCACCGGAATAGATATTTCTGAAAGAGAAGGAGCCCAGGTCTGTCTTCACTTGGTTTATGCCAGAGTCTCTCCTCACAGCTCCCAGCTCAGAGACGCTGCTGTCCCATTCGGGTGGTGGCCCTTTTTGCTCTGGTCCTGTGAGAGCCGGAGTGTGAGCTGTGCCGCTGGCTGGCAGGCCAGGGGGAGGGGGTGGCACCTTTACCCCCCTCCACAGCCCCCTCCACACTGAGGGCAAAACCACTCAGCCTTTGAAACCAGCCTGGAAGTCTTCATCCCCAGGGTGTAAAGATGCTCATTTAAAAGGTCATTTCCGATAACCTCCTAGCTTTGCATAAAAAATATGATTACAAAAGGAAAACACTTTGCTAAATATTTACTGATTCAGCCAACTTTCACAATTTAAAGAGCATGACAATTTTTTTTCCTTTACACCTTACTTCAGATGTTTATCTGATGTATATTCAGACTGATCATCCAGCATTTTATTGCACTGTAATAGAATATCTAAAATCAACATGATCACATGCCTGGGGGAGAAACCAGGATCTTGAAGAATGTGAGACATCTCTTACGATTAGTTGTTCCGTTCTGCTTGATAAAATATTATATGCCTGCGATGCTCTGGTTGCATGAGTGCGTGATCAGTCGTGTCCGAGTCTCTGTGACCCCACAGACTGTAGCCTGTCAGGCTCCTCTGTCCATGGGATTTTCCAGACAAGAATACTGGAGTGGGTTTGCTATTCCCTTCTCCAATGCTTTGGCTAGAATTACTTTTTAAAAAAACACTTTCAGTGAATCAGTATATATCCAGAGACCCAACAAGAGTCACCCACATCACAAAATCCACCTAAGAAATTCTCCCTAATGCCATGAGACTAGGCATGAACTAATGACTCCTTGGTTCATATTTCCATGAGACACGTAAAGAGGGCAGGTGAGTTCATGGAAAGAAAGACGCTATGATGTTCACCATCAGATCCTCTATGTCCAACACAGGGCCAGGAATTCAACGAGCATTCAATCAAGATTTTGAATTTTTGTTCATCCATAAAATCATCAATGACTATTCTTGCAAAGTCATATCAACTTGAGACGGACTGCAAGTTAGATATACACAGCCAAAGGTTGAACAGAGACTCCTCAGACCCCACTGAAAGGGCACCAGGTACCCAGAAATGAGAGAGAATAGAATATGCTTTACATTTTATCCTATTGCACCCCCAGGGAGAGATGTCAAGTTCAAATATTCTACAGAATTGCCCTTTTGTATCCCCAAATGGATGAAACAGCATCTTATGACCTACTATAAAACCATACTTATCTCAGTAAACTGAGCTATATTTCACAACCAGATTATAAATGTAGCCACACCAAAACAGTCGAAGAGGTACACCTTAGTCACTGGAGGCTTCTTCAGATAAGATTTCAATCCTACCCTAGGTGAGTGATGTGTAACTCTTCCTGAATAGCTTATTAAACTGAATATTACACTGAGGTAGAAGACTTGACTTGGTACTTAAATAACGCCCTTAGCCATCAACCCCCACCCACAAATTACTACTTCTTAGAAATGAGTTCGATTCCTAACCAAACTATATACCTATTAGTCTCTAAAATGAATTAATGAAAAAATAATTATAGACACATTTTTCACACACACAATTATAGACAGGTATGATAAAAACTACTTCTCTGAATATGAATTCTGTATCCATTATGGCGGATTTAAAATTCAGTAGAGAATTTCAGTGTATTAAGCACTACTGTGTGACTTGTTTTCAAGCAGAATACAATTGAGCGTGCAAAAAGATTAAGTTAGCTCTTAAGATGGTATTCACATAAACAGAAAACTGCGGAATCAGTTATGACAGTATGGCACTTAATAGAGCAGTCTGTGTTATCGACAGAGTAACTCAGCGTATTAGCCTAAACTACTTAAATTTAACTACAAATGCCTTATGTAAACTTGCAAGTGACTGTGTTTCCTCGGGGTCTACTTTTAAAGCTATAGGGGTTCCCCCACCACCACTGAATTATGAGATGAAATGATAACTCTCTTAAAACTGTCTTAAATATACACCTGTGAGTACACACATCTGGCACTATAAAATTAATAATAAGATCTAAATATTTTACTCTCTGGTCACTTAGGAAATGGTCACCCATCAGGAAGTGAGTTTCTATTCTGCAGGTATGCAGCCCTCTGAGAAGCGATCCCGGAGAGACCACTAGGGGTCAGTGCCAGGCTAATTTAACGACTTCAGGGAGCTTTTGAAGTTCGGAAGCCAAGAAAGAACCTGAGGAGGGAGATTTCCAGAAGTGGCAAAAATCTAGCCTCGCGGTTAAGGCAAAATTACCCAAGCCAGAGCTATCGGCCCTAGACTAAATCTTCTTCTCACCCCGGAGGGCTTCATTTCAAACCAGCATCCCAAACAGACTTCCTGTGGCTCTAAAATATCCGCCTGCTATCTGCATAAAGAGACATAAACTAAATTAGGAACAGTCTCAAGGAAAGGCACTTGCCCTATATCAAGCATTTACAGATCTTTGCCTAGCTTCACATCCCTGGAATTCTGAGTCACAAACATATTTTGTGTACATGTGTTTGAAAATATATCAGTGTATGAATCAGATCTGTTTAGTAGCACTATGACTCTTCTGAGACTAGTTTACATTTAAGCAGAGATGGCTTCAAAGAAAGCTAAAATAAGGAGCTAAAATTGTGGGTCCATTTTATTTTCTGCGCTTTTAACGTGGTTTTAATTCACTGAAGCGTTTCTTTGTAATAACAAATGGGCACTGGCTTGATAAACTTTGTTTTAGTGGTAGGCTGATTTCTGGGCAGGCATCTTTAACCCAGTTTCTCTAGATTATTTCACCAGATCTGAACTGTACGCTGTTTGCTCCTGTCTCTGGGGAAAGTCCCGCAGGGATGCGGTGGTCGTTAATTAAGAGTTACCGGCTCTCTGCGGTGCATACTGGCTCTGTTCCGAAGGCCTCCATAACCTCTCCCTCCTTAACGAACAGAAGCATCAGCTCTCTCCAGAACCTCGGAGTGCCTTAATTTGCAGACTAACGGCGGAAGTGGAAATGGAAGTGGAATGGTCGAAAAGGAAAGAGATTCTCATTCTTTTTATGAAATAAATGTGCACTCTCTGGTGCTCCTCCTCAGAGAAGCAGGAGAAACACAATTTCATTGTTCTTAAAGCTCTGCGCGTCTTTCTAACGTAAAGTAAGATCAAGGCGAAATCAAATGAAGCTAATTAGGTTAAGCAAACAATCGAAGAAACCGGGCTTGCCGCCTTTGGCTAGAAAGCTCCTCCCCAGGCTTCTGGACCTTCTGGGAGCCTCTGCTCCAGGCTTCCTGCTCTCTGCAGACCCAACTAGTCTCTCTCCCTCTCTCTCTATTTCTCCCTCTCTCTCTCTCTAATTAGGGCATTAGGGCCTTGGTGAGTGCCTAGAGATTCCAATGTCATCTTCTATTAATAAAGAACAATCGGTGCCCTGCCTGGCCGCCCTGGGACCACGCATCAAAGGAGCCCAAGTAACCACGCTGGGCATCGTGGCCCCGAATCAGCCTGCTGGCCGAGGCGCAGAGGGGCGGTGGGAGGCCCTGACCCCCGGCAGGGGGTTGGCAAAACCCGGGGGTGCACCCACTGCAGGACACCATCCCATCTAGGCTAGGTCTGCAGCCAGCAGCGGGCCCTCCTCCTCCAGTGACCCAGGGTTGAACCCCTAGGACAAAGGTCCCCACCTTCTCGGGGACATCCCCGCTATGCTTCTGTGAAATCTGAGCCAGGAGGGAGCTGAGGGGAGAGCTGGCCAGAGCCCCCTTCAGCCAGCCAGATCCCGCCCCCCCAACACTGTGGGTTCAGAGCAGGACCCATTTCCGCTTGCTCACACTGGCTGAGGGTCCCTGGGCGAGTCACTTATTGGGGGGCAGACAGCGTCCCTTTACTACTGAGCCAGAGGGGCTCATGCACCACACCAGGTACGTGGGGACTGGAAGAGAAAGCCAGGCAAGATCCACGCTCTGGGATGCCCACCCTTCGCTGGCATCTGGGTGCGCCTGGTAACAGAGCGCGGTGGCCACCGTGAGGTCCCCAAGGTCCTTTGCAACAGAAAGGGCTCCCTGAGCCCAAGTCTCCTGCTGAAACGTCCAGGGGGGCTGGGCCAGGGCACCGCAAGTCAGAACGGCTAAATGGGGCAACAGAGGATGAGATGGTTGGATGGCATCGCTGACCCAAAGGGCACGAGTTTGAGCAAACTCCGGGAGATGGTGAAGGACAGAGGAGCCTGGAGGGCTGCAGTCCATGGGGTTGCAAACGGTCAGACAGGACTTAGCGACTGAACGACAACAAACCGGTCCTGAGGACACCCCTAAGTGAGCTCTAGGGTTTTCTGGAACCTGTTTTTCAGAGCTTCCATCCTGCTTAGAGGTAGACTGTGGTCTTGGGGGCCTGTCACCATCCTCACGTGGGGGCTGGAGAGTGGGGGGCAGGCTGCCAACAAGGGGGAACTCGTGAGCAAGACTGATGAATGATAGGTGTGCCCCCCCCCACCCAAGCAAGGAAGAAAGCTGCTCTCTGGCCTGTTGCCTGCATTTTGTTTTTAATTAAGAGGGAAAGCTGGGGGTGGGGGGAGGAGGGATGGTCTGGGTGTCTGGAGGGTTTATCACAGGGCTGTGAGCTGGCCGGACAGTCCCCTGACCCAGGGAAGGGGCAGACCAGCTCACATCGACTCTAGAGAGTGACTCCTGCCCCTCCAGTCACTCTGCACCAACATGACGGATTTGGTTTTTCAACATTCATGCCAACTGTTTCCCTGATTAACTCTGGGCTGGTGACCACAGCCTCTGTCCCCTCTAGACACACTGGGCTGGCCTCTGAAGATTTCTTTCTTTCTTTTTTTTCTTTTTTAGTATTTAGGGAAACCTCCTCCAGGATCTATAACTTGGCCTCCACACAGGAATTGCCCTGGGGCTGTTTCGCTCCAACTGGGAGCCAGAAACTAATGGGCTCATTAACTAATGGGCAACAAGGATTTGGCTCTGCCTGTTTGGGGGAAGTCGCTGCAGCCCCAAGGTGCTGAATGTGTTTCTGGCCACAAACGAAATAAAGGTGTCTCTCTCTCCCTTTCTCCCTCTGCCCTCCCCCGCCCCCCTTCTCTCTCCTCCCTCTCTCTCTCACTCCACCGTCCAGCTTCTTTCCGAGTGACCGAGAGCTGTTGGGAGAAAAGGGTCATGCTAAGGAAAGTGCCCTCTTGCAGCCAGCTCTCGGCCGGGGGAGAAGCCAGATGGAACTCTCCTCCGGGCAGACCCGGGGCTAGGGCTGCAGGGGCGGCGAGGAGGGGGTGGGCGCCCACCTGAGTTGTAATTGACAATGTCCACCCCCAGCGCCGGGCTCTTGCGTTTCCGGGGCCGCCCTTTCTGCACGGTGCCGGTGCCATTGAAGTAAGGCAGGGCCAAGCCGCCGCTCTTGGCCGCCAACTCGCTGTAGCTCAGCTGCGGCGGATACTCTCCTTGCAAGAGGGTCTCGAAGTGGGCGCGGCAGTACACCAGGCTGTCCTTCATGCCAAAATGGTCGCCCGTGGTCAGGGTCTTGTTGCACGTGGAGCAGGTGAAACAGCTCAGGTGGTAGACGGAGTCTCGGGCGCGCATGACCATCTCGGAGGCGGAGATGCCGAGGTGGCAGCGGGCACATCTCTGCACAGAGAACCTTCTGGAAGGAAACAGTGGCGTCAGGGAGCAGGCGGAGGCCGAGGCAGAGCCACCTCTCACCGTGGCACCCAGGGGCTTGGTCAGCAGCGGCCCAAGATGGAGATCCGGGAGGGAGCCGGGAGGGGAGGACCCACGCCCTCTTGGATATATTTATTTTATCTGCTGATTGACCTGCTCTGATGAATATGACAAAGAACCCTTACATTAAAATAAGAAGAATCGAGAAAGTGATCTTCAGTTTTCTTTCCTGTAAAGTAAAAATTTTAAAAAGCAAAAACCAGAACAAACCGTGCCCTGGCTAACTCACAACAGTATGTTAAGAATATTAAATTGCGATGCCAAGTGAAACCGACTCCTCGATTACAAGGCATTCACAGGAAGGGTGTTGTTATTTATAAAAGTATGAGTGTGCATGAAGATATTCAGACACTGCCCTGGGGGGGGGGGGGCGGAGACAGTTCTGTAGAGGAGAGCTAATTCTTTTTTAACCACTTTTCTCGCCTCGGCAGAGAGCGAGGCCGACCGCTCCTGTCCCCAAGGCAAGAAACACGGAGCAGAGCCAGTGAACATGCTGCGGCCAGTTCACTCTCCGGCGTCTGGGGAGTCTGGGGGCAGGTTCCAGCCCGCTGCGCTCAGGGCATCTCTGAACTGAGTGGCCTGGGTTTTGGCAACAGCAGTTATTCCTTTTCTTGGTCATTTAGGTGACTTCCCCGCCACCCTCGCGAAAACCTGACAGCCAGCAGCTACTGCTGCTGCCTCGGCCACCGGTTCAGTTCCAAGGCACCGGCCTTGCTGAGTTCGTAGTAAACGGAAAACACAAACCCGCTTAAGCCTCGGTAGACGGAGGACACGTTCATTGACCCTCCTAGGACATGCCTAGCTCCCTCAGTGGTGTTCTGGGGGCGCCTGAGCGGGAGAGTCTAGAGCAGGTTCTGGACCTGGGGTGCCTCCCTCCCGGCTCCCCGCGCGTCTGGCAGTGGTGAGCACGCTGCAGTTTGAAGGCGCACGCTGGGGGCTTCCCTGGGCAAGGGGGTGGGGGGCAGGGAGGGGACCCAGGGGCTTGGGCTGGCGGCCCCCCCAGGGGGTTAAGGGATGGGGTGGGAATACCTGTAGTAATCCTCTTTGCAGTAAATGCTGCCGTCCTTGGCGAAGCAGGTGAGCTCGGACTCCAGCGCCAGCTTACATTCACAGCACTTCAGGCACCTCAGGTGCCACTGCTTGTCCACGGCCAGCAGGTAGTACCTGTCGGCGATTTTGCCCCCGCAGCCGGCGCACAGGGCGGGCTTCTCCGGGCTCAGCGGGGGCATGCCCTGCAAGGAAGCGCGCGCGGTGAGAAGCGCGCGGGGCCGCCCCACGCGGGTCCCCGGCGCAGAGCCAGCCCCCGGCCTCCGGGAGCGCCGCCGGGTCAGGGGCCCCTCCGCGAAGGCAGACAGGGGGAAACGTTTGCAGTTTTTCCTTCTGCCACTTGTACTCTTTCTGCCGCGTCTGTCTGAACCCGGGCTCAACCTAAAGACCCGCTGGTCACCTCGAACATTTTCCAAAAGTGCTAGAAGCGCATGGACTGTATAGATGGTGGAGGTTTCCGAACTCAAATAATTAAATCTTAAAAAGTGTGGCTTTCGACTCGCCCGAAATGAAACAACAGAAATTGTTGTTGGAGGATGAAAGGGAGATCTGAACAAGAACATACTGGTTTTCAGCAAACACTATTACATTTCTCTTTATATCACTATAAGCAACGTTGAAAGTACAAGAGAAGGGAGAAGGTTTAATACTCGTGCTCATAATGTGGCCGACGTTGTTTCCATCGAAATATATTTGGCAGATCTTGCTGTTCTGTCATCTTCGGGATTATCGGTCCTTCTCCTACTAAGCACTGTACCTGTTCCCGGGAGGGTCCGTTATCCGATCACCTCTGCACAGGCCCCCATTCCCTGACATCAACATACCTCGGAGATCTTTGTTCTGAAAATCTTTCCAATGCCGACCTTAAGCTTCCCCTCTGTGTCCCCACGACCCTACGAGGAAGGGGACCCCTCGCCTTAAGCGGAACCCCGCCGTGAAATTCGTATTTGCATTACTGCATTTTGTTTTTAAACGGGATAGCCACAAAAGGTGGGTGGTTAACTGCGGGACATTGCCCTCAGGACTAGGAGAAATGGGTTGGACTTTCCCCTTTGAAACCCCGGCAGGCCTGGAAAAGTAGTTTAGCCCTTTACTCAGACCAGCCCCCTCCCTCCCTCCCTCGCGCACTGAAACCATTTTGCTCGGCTACTTGGTGGATCCCAAACACCGCTGACCGGCCCCGGGCAGTCTGTCCACCGGCTTAGTTTGAGCTGCGATTCCCGGTGTGACGCCCGAGGATCTACACAGCTCTGTTTCGCTCAAACTCTGCGGAGACGTCTGTCGTTTCCCCCCTCCGGCTCGTAAATGGGAAAGGCGAGCACAGAGATCGTTCATTAGTTTTCTTTACGAAGCGGGCCTGACTTTTATCCTACATGCCTAATCGACACAGCGTGGTTGATCACAGCGTAGAAGGTTAGAAAGTTCTCGCGCTTGGGCTCGGCGCCCCGCTCCTCCGGACTTTCTATTCTACTCCCCAGCACGCTACGAGCGCCCGGCCGAGGAGCTGACCGAGCCGGACTGCCAGAGACCCCCAGACCATGGCGGGCTTTGCGCGTTCAGCGTCCGAGCGTCCTGAGGACGCATTCTCGTCCACCCCGAAAGGCCGGTTTCCAGACCCAGGGACTGGAGACCCGGAGCTTCAGCTAGACCTGGACGCTCGGCCGCGCGCCGCAGCCGGTGGCCCGCACCCGCTCACCCTCGGGCCGCCGATCCTCGCCGGGGAGGTGCCCGGGAGCCCAGCGGGCCGGGAGACCGGCGTCTGCGCCGCCGGGGAGGACGTCGCCATCCTCTCGTGCCCGACTAGCCCTGCTTCCCCCGGACCAGCTGCGGAGGAGACGAGCGAGCTCGGGCTCTCAGGAATGTAGCTAAATCAGAAAGGGGTCTTTTCTTGCCCCGCAGCAGCCAGGCAAACCGAAGATAACCTACCCGCCGATCCGCAGCGGACGCGCCTACGAGCCGCCACCCTCGCCCGGCCGCAGTGGCAGCTCGACTCGGCTCCCCCTGCACGCGCGAGCGGGCTCCCGGCTCCCGCGGCCGCCGGCCCTTCCTTACCGCGTCGCGGCCGTTGAGCTGGGCGCCTTTGGTCAGGCGGGCCTCGCTCTTGGATCTGCGCTCCATCTCTTCCATGATGCCTTGGATGTGGCCTCCAGAGATCCCGTGGAAGAGCATGGCTGGAGGGCGGAAAGGACACGAGCTGTCTTCTGCTCGGCACCCCACTATTTCCATATACACTCGCCCCGGGGGCTCTCAGCTCCTCCGAGGAGGAGAAGCGGGGAGCGCAGAGGCGGGGCGATGGGAGAGCGCCGAGACGCTCGGGGACAGAGGGAGAGGGGGAAGAAGGAAAGAGGCAGCCGCGGTGGAAATGGGTCTGCTCGGAAAAGAAAAAGCAGCAGGGGAACGCCAGCCCCGGCGACTCCCTGAAGGAGACGCGCAGAAAACAAACGGGAACGGGGCGAGCGGAGGCGAAGCAGACGGATCTGACCGCTCCGAGAGCTCGACTCACTAACGGGGAACTAGTCGGCCTGTCTGGTCTAAGTTCAAGATCAGACCCAGACTCAAGAAATGCAGAATCCCAGCCCCAAACTTCACGTCTCCTCCTTGTGGACCTTCCGGTCCCCAGCTCGAGGGGACCCCAAATAAATAAATATTGGGACACCCTCTCCTCCCCCACCCCTGACTTCCTCCACTCGTTTAAAAGCAGGCTCCGCTTCACCTCCCCACGGCCTCCCGACCCCACCTGGGGCTGAAGCAAGCCCCAAAGTGAGAAGAACCAGGAGAGCCTGTTTCTGGAGTTTACTTCTGGCAAAAAAAAAAAAAAAAAAAAAAACAAAAACCTTGGAACCACCAGTGTAGGGGACAGGGCGTGGGCTTGGTGATGAATGTGCAGCCGCAGCGTGGCCACGGGCGATGCCGGTTCAGGGTAGGAGAGAAACTGAGGGCGAGTCCCGCGTCCCGGAGGAAGCCTGTCCATGTGGGCAGCGACGCGGGGACCCGCGGGAGCTTGGCGCCGCCCCCCACATCCCAGGACCGGTCGCGCGCCCCGCTGCCCTGCTGGACTGGGGACCTGTAAACGTGGGCGCCCCGCGCGGTGAGGAGGATGCGAAGGGGCTCCTCGCCGTGGAGGAGTGAGAGGTGAGAGCTGACGAGCGGAACGGCAGCCCCCGCGCCTCACAGGAGGCGGGATTGTTACCGCGAGTCGTGGCCCCTCCTCGGCCCTGTTAAAAAGTGGCCACAATACTCGGATATTGTGGATTCATGCAAACCGCCAGAAGCCCCCGAGGGGCCCGACGCGGGGAGCGGCGGCAGGAACCGACCCAGCTCCCAGCCGAGAGCGGGAAGACCCGGCGGGCCTCCGCGGGCCTCCGCGGGGCTGCCCGTTCCCCCACGGCGCCCCGTCGGCTTTGCGGGAATCGCGCGCTTCTCCCGGCAGGTCCGGGACACCCGAGGGGTCCCCTGGTGGCAGACTCGCGTCCCTCCTGGAGGACCCCGACCGGGAACGGTGGCCAAATCTAGAAAGATGGAGAAAGGGAGGGAAGAAGGGGGGAGGGAGGAGAAAGGAAGGAAGACGAGAACGGTGCCGATCCGACTTCCTGTCCCAAAGCATCGACTTCTGAAGCTGCTGGAATCGCCTCTGCCATGAAACCCAAGACTCGCCTTCTTCCCCCTTGCTCTTTTCTCAGGGTAAAAAAAAAAAGTTATTTTCAGACTGGACGCTGTTACGGTCCTCCGGGTGCCAGAATACAGCTCATAAAATACAATTTCACACACACACAAAATGAAGCCAATCAAGTGAACTGAACTGAAGACTCCCCCCCAACCCCCCACCCCACCCCCGGCAGCTCTACTGGACAGCAGGGCTGCTATTTACTGTAAGTAATGTAATTAGCCCCTTTGGAGGGAAATCAATGAACTTTTCAAACCCACGTGCACCAGCGCAGGGGCTGGGGGCAACACCTCTTTAAGAGACTGCAGGTCCTCTCACAAAGGGGCAGACTGCCTTTCCACAAGAGGGGACCGGGCCCAGGGAAGGGGAGAGGGAGGAGGCGGAGGGGGAGGAGGGGGAGAGGAAAGAGGAGGGGTCTCTGAGAAGGACATCCTTTAACCAAGGAGGCTCCAAGGGAAAGTAAACCTGGGACCTCAATCCAGGGACTCCTTTGTCCAGTTTCTGGGCTAACTCCCCCCGCCCCCAGGTGGAGGTTGGGAACTGGGTTTGGGTTTGGCTGTTGCTGGATCTGGGTCCTGCTCAGCAAAAATAAATAGAGCTGGAGCACGCCACTGCCTTCTTGCTGGGGATGAAAGCTTGGAGACTTCATTAAGTGAGGGTTTGACCAACTCCAAGGAGAGGCCAGAACTTTGGGAAGCGTCTCCAGGGAAGCAGGCTCGGAAGGCCTGTGAGCCCTCCACTCCTTGCTTCCCTCATTTGTCTCCTGCACACACGGATTTGCTCCTAGACCCTCCAGTACAGGCAGGGCGGGGGGCCTCCTGCCATCAGCTTCCGGGTTGGAGCCCGCTGTCTCGGCTTTTTCTTATAAAACTCAGGTTATAAGTTCCTGTGCCAGGTGGGATTTGCTAACTTCACATAAAGATGCCAACTGTTCGCGTTCTTCCTTCTCTGCCAATGCAGGAAGTTTGCCGAGACCTCGGGGTGGGGCAGGGGGGCTGCTGGAGTTTGGGAGGTCCTCCTTAGTCCTGTGGCTGTCAGAAATCGCTCCCGGTGGGTCCAGCCCTGCCTCCTCTCCCGGCTCCAGGAAAAGGAAACCCACTGGGGGAAGGGGAGACTCCCAGAACTGTGCTGTGGCCTGGGACGTCCTATTGTCTTGCAGCCTCGGGGAGATGCCCCCCGCCCCCGCCCCCCCCCCCCCAGCACTCTCAAGGGACAGTAAGCACTTCCAGGAAAGGGTCTTGGTGTCTCTGCCTTCTTTCATCTCTCAAGAGGAGGTGCTGGGGCCGCGGGGCGGCCCTGGGGTGCTCCATACACGCTGGGGTGCTGCTCGCTCAGTTCCCAGGGCTGAGTCCCCGCACCTCGGGCTGGGACAGGTGCAGGGACCGCCCCCGGCCGCGGCCCGCAGTGACTTCTCCAGGCTCCCGTCTAAACTCAAAGCTCTCTTTGGGGCAAGGCGGCAGAACCCTGGCCAGGGGCTGCCCTCCGCCCGACGGAGCACACTTCACCCACTGCCCTCTCTGCTCCGCCAGCCGCTGTGGCGGCTTTGAGGAAAGCGGACGGCAGCGACTGCGGACACGGGAGTTGGGCTCGAGGGTCGAGGTCCCGGAATCTCCTCGAGGGCCGCAGCCGGGTCCCTCTCCAGGAGAAAGGGAGGGAAATAAAGGGAACGCACGGCTTCACCCAGGGGCTGACGAAGGCTTCAGGGTCGAGAGAGGAGGCCTCTAACTGTGAGCACAAGAGAGGTCTCTTTAGACCTGAATTTTGGAGGTCAAGGTGCTCTGCCCCGGGTTTGCCCTTAAAAGGGCAGAGGTCACCTTTCCTCCTGACCCTATTAAGGTGTGGACGGTCCTCCTTGGTCTGAAGGGTGCAGCTCTCGAAGAGGCGTCCGGCTTCCAGCATTGCCCTGAGAACCCCGGGGCCCGGGAAGTCAAGGCCGTCCTGGGGCTGGGACCCGAGCACCCAGCCCTGCACGTCGCGGGGGGGTCTCCGCCCGGCGAGGGGTGGGGGAGGCGAGGGGCTGGCCCCGATGCTCGCCGGCCTGTCTCCATCCTCGGGCTCAGGGAAACTGTGGGTACACCGAGGCGGCAGGGCCAAGCCTGGCGCCGCCACCAGAGCGCACCTCGGCGTCAGTCCTCGGAGGAGGGCCTCCAGCCCTGGTGGGAGTGGGCTGAGCGGCTCCGGGCTGCGCGAACTCTACCGCGCGGAGAGGGAGCCCCACGGCAGGCCCCGCTGGGCACCTCGGCCCGGAGTTCTCCCCGCGCCCGCGGCGCGCGCGGGGCCGTGCCCTCGGATGCGCCCTGCGCCTACGCGCCCCCTTCTCCCCGCAAGGCGCCCCACCCGCCCCTGGGTTCTTCTCTAAGGGCCCGCCGCCCGGTGGCGAAGACCGAGCTTCTGAAATCTGAATCCCTTTCACCTGGGATTTGCCGCGCCGCCGGCCAGCCGCAGCCGCCGGAATAAAGGGAGCCGTCCCCCCCGCCCCCCAGCCCCCACTCCGCGTCTGCGGAGATCGCCCACAGAAACCGCTGCGCGGGGGTCAGATTGAACCAAAAATGGGGGGTGAAGGCAGTTTCCGGAGGAGAAGAGGCATCTTCCTAGCCGCCCCTCCCCGCCCGCCCCATCCCTCCCCATCTCTCTCCATCTCTCCCCGCGAGGAGACGCCCCCAGCAGCTTCGCCGAGGACCGGAACGCATCCCTGGTGCCCAGACAACGCGCGGCGCAGTGGCCGGGCGACCTCCGGGCCCCGGCGCCTGCACTCCGAGAATCTCAGGCCTCGGAGAGCAAGGCCGGAGGAGGGAAAGGCGGCTTTCACGACTGCTGTCAGCGGACTCTGAACGAGACCGCGTATTTTAGAACCTACTGATCGCGGTACGATTTCCAGGGCAAGCACGACCCCTCTTCCTCTCACCCGATGAAGGGGAGGGGGGGTGGCACACGCGCGTGCACACCCACTTACACACCCACGAGATACATGCTCCGGCCTAGGGCACAGGGTACGAGAGAGAACCTGGCGGGGAGCTCACCTGCCTCCAGAGCGGCGCCGTTCAGCATTCTGCGAGCTCACGCCGCTCACACCGCGATGGTGGCTGCACCGCAGAGAACCCGCGCGTCAGCTCCGAGGTGCGGCCCGGGGCCCCGCGCGCCTCCCCCTCCTCCTCGCCTTGGGGGCCGAGCGGCCTCCGGGGAAGCCGGGCCGCCTCCGGTAGGTGCCCGGGGCGCTCCTGGGCACCCGGAGGTCGGGAGCACACCGGAGGCGGAAAACTGCTCGGACCAGACAACCCCAATCGAAATCTTACCTTGAGGTCCAGACGTTCCCTCCAAGAAGCCAGTCCGGGGCGAAGGAGGGCGGGCGGCGGGCGGCCAGAGGTGCGAGCCAGTCCCCAGAATCTCGCCAAGGGGTCCTCTGTAAATCCAAATAAATAATCAGGTGGTTGGTGGGTGGGTCTCTCTGTGTCTCTCCCCTTCTCCTCTCCTCTCCCTCTCTGTCGGAATTGACCCGAATCCCTCACCTCTGACCCGCAGCTCGCTCCACCTGTCTTTTATTTCTATTTATGCTTCCAGATCGGGAGGAGGAGGAGAAGGGGTGGGCAGAGGGCAGCGGCGCGGGCCAGGGCCGGGAGACTGGCTCTGAGGCTGCGTTCAGCCCTCCCAGCCTCTCAGCAATCAGGGGAGGTGTTAATGGAGGAGACGGCCGGGAGGGACCCTCATAAAGCCGGGAGCCCCTCGAGGACTAGCGTCCCGCGGCGCGCCCAGCTCGCCTCCCCCCCCCCCCCCCCCCCGCCGGTCCGCCTTGGCCTTCCCGGAGATGCTGGCACCTCAGAGATGCTGTCTCTGCCAGCTGGTGCCC